GTTCCCACCATATCGGACACGAGTATGCTCACCAAAACCAGTAGCTCCAGTTTGATCCTCAACTGAAAAACGGCACGGCTGATATTGATCCAAATAGGCAACAGGGAAGCTGGTACGCCTCACTTGTTAGATTAGTCGCTCCGTCCCAGCTCCCACCGCCACGCTTCCAGGCCGGCAAGTCCACCCCAGGCGCTCTGTCCAAATACGAGGGACAATCTGAGGGCCGAGGGACTCCATCCACACCTGCCACTCCACCGAGACACGCCGCAACAGCAGCAAGCCGGAGAAACCAGCCCAACCGGCAAGGTAGACGATATTTACCAAAGTTAGGATAACTTGTGGTCGATGCTTGTTTACACGTCATAGGACGCTTGTGTGCTGTTGTTTTTCAAAAACGATGTCCGTCATTTTATTCAGAATCATTTGAGCTGATGTGCTGTATGGATTCATCTGTGACAGAAAAAAAATCAAGCTCCTGTAAACAATATTTAATCTCAAAGTCAAATTTGTTGAAGGGTAAAAGAAAGAAAGAAAGAAAGAAAGAAAGAAATAGCCAGCAGCCAGTTGAGACAGTGCTACTTTATAAGGTTGCACAGCCTGGCTAACTATGGGAATATATCATTAAAATAACTCCCTGATGTTGAAGCCTGACGGCATCTATTTTCTGATGTAACCTTTCTTCTTGTTTTAGTCGACCCGACATTTGTTGCGGAAGTACTGCTTGAGAGAAGAACGCCGGATTGAGTTTTTACACGGAGCACAAAGGTCATATTTGGCTGTAATATATTCATCAGATGCAGGGAGGGAGAAGATGCAGTTTCATTCTCAAAGGAAATATTCAGTATCAAGACCAAGTCTGAATGCAGCCTTATATTCTGGGTACTTGCTTCGAACGAGACCCCAAAAAATATTTGACTTTACCATTTCAGGATAAGTTTAATGAAACCAGCACAGATCGTAGACAAAGTGTAGGAAATGTCCATCTCTGTGTTTTTAAAGATGGAGAAAACAGTTATTGTTCAAGCGGTGCCAGATTTCCACAGGAAAGCGTATATAGGCTCTAAGTAGGCTGCTACGTATTTACGGCGGGAAAGAACCATCTTTTCTACGGATTGATTCGGTCTGGTAGGGGGCTCGTGTACCAGAGGTGGCAAAGTAAATACCTGAAGACTAATGTCTCTGTTCTAGAAATCAATACTCGCCTCATGACCACACTCCTGGCTGCGCTCCCGTTAAAAGCAAATTTGTTAATTCTGACAATTTAATTGCTGTGACCATGCATGCCTTGAGTTGTATAAGCAGGGAGTTGAGCTTCTTGGTTGGGATGGGGGGCAGGGGGGCCGTCCTGGAAAAAAAAGGCAACCTGTTGGGATTCCTCCATGTTTTTTTCTCTTTCTTTGACGAGCATTAAACATTTCTTTACGTGTTTTTATTTGTCGTTCATTGAGTGCATTGAAGTGTAACTGAAAGAAATTATTGTCAAGTTAAAAAAAAGCACGAATTGAAGTTTTGCGTTGTTTCTTTAATTAGTATCTCTGTTTATTTTTTAGCTACTGTATTTTTTTTTATTAGCGCTGTTTTGAAATGTTTTCTGTCTTTTTTTTTTTCTTTCCTGTGTCTATTACGTCACACTTTGATCACCAAAGTCCTATTGCTAAATGTTTGTACACTAAATCTGAACTACAGTCTCCTGAGCTGGCATGTTTATTATGATTCCTCAGCCCTCCAACGCCACTTCAGTCAGATACACACGTGCAGCTTCGCCAAAACCTCAGGGTTGTCAAATTAAAGAAAAGGAAAAATAAATAAACCATATCTGCTTTAGAAGCGGGGTGAGAAGTTAGCACGTGGCTTGTCTCTCACATCCATATTACTGTAGTATGAAATATCCATCTATAGCTTTTATGTGATATTTGAACTTCATCCTGCTGTTTATTATTTATTGATTTGTGTTTGATTTTATGTGTTGTACAAGTGTCTGGATATACAAGCCTGTTTAAGCCATTTTAAGTTTTTCAGTACGTTTTGTTCGAGTCTTGTTGGTAAAAACAACCTAATATCAACTGTTGTTTGTGCATCAAGTTTTATTTGTACCTCTGTTTTTTTTAAGCTCACCTAAAAAGTCCAGTGCAAATGCAATGGCATGTGGTACGTATTAGGAGAGCTGGTAGTAATTTCACTGCTGCTAACTAAAGAATCCACAAGGGAGGCTTAATTACAGGAAGGCCATTCTAAATATCAGCAAGCCGCATATTTTCCATGACAAGAGATTTTTTTTGGCTCACTCTTGCAGCAGATTCAAAGTGGTGCAGTTGATCTGCCCTCAAGCTCAGGTGATGGCCAAAAATCCTGTGGGTCTGTGTTCGATGATATACTCGACTGAAACATTAGCGCTTTCACTAAAACACAGGATTAGCTGTTTACAAACAGGAAACGACCTTACCGGATAATCTGTGGAGCTTTAACATGCACTACTGGAACTTTTAAATGTTTGCAGATTTTTTTTCTCTTATAATCTGGAGTGGTCTTCTCTACCTGCTAAATCAATGTTCAGCAATAAAAATCTGATTGACTTTCCAAACAGATTCTTATTCCAAAAGTTGTCCAATAAGTTGATGGTAAATCTGCTTCCTAAGTTAATTTCTAACCAAATGGTGACAAAAGTTACAGGTAAAGCTAAGAAAATTCAAAACATGTATGGTTTTAAACTGAGTATTTGAATGTTTTTAAAAACTGCTTTAGGCTGAAGTCCTGAAACTGAACTTAAAATTTTGATTTTGTGTGAGATTATTAACCAGACCAAATTGCATAAAAGACCTTTTGTTGAACTTTTGGAATACCTAAAATATCTTAACACTAAAAAAAAACCAAGGTTGATAACAATCTGCTTCAAATGATGTCTGTATTCCATCTAACTGTGCAGTGCAATAAAGCTAAACCTGTGTGTGTGTGTGCGCACTTTGGTAAAGATAATGTACTTGCAACTTTGCTGTATTCTGCATGGTGTATAAAATAAAGTCCTCCCCCCTCTTCTAGCATCTGAGGAGGATATCCTCAAAGGAAAGCAGTCCATCAAGAGTCAGGCTCTGGGAAATCAGAACTCTGAGAGTGAGACGTCATTGGACGGAGACGATGACACTCTGTCCTCTTTAGAGGAGAAGGACCTGGACAACCTAACAGGTAAAAAAATAAATAAATAAAAATAAAAAATAAAGCAGCTTCTTTACCTGCCTAAGAGTCATTCTCACCACTGCCCATTTTGATCCAGCAGTTCAGCTTTAATAAAAGACAGCATCACTTTTTAAAAATGTAAATTATTAATTTATGCAAAAATAAAATTTGTCTGTCCAGTCTTTTCTCTTTCAGTGACTGATTAGAAACTTGTCTAGCTATGATTGCATTTTTTTCTTCAGCTTTTCGTAAAGTTGTTAGAATAAGATTCCCTTTAACAAAATGTTTAATCATTTTTTTCCTGTGGGAAAAATTAATAAGTGTATTATTGAACTTATCACTTATTCATTGTGCTGTATGGCCTGCTTCAAAACTCACTGAACTCAATATAAATTCAATAGTTTTTAGTCTTTTTCAGAATAAAATTAAACACATCTTTAAATAAACGTAAATCTTCCCTCTCTGCTCGAGTTTATTAATATAAGACTGCAACAAAAGATTACATTTAACCATATTTTACCAGCCCTTTTTATGCCTTTCTTAGGCTAATTTGATGTAATATAGTTCCTTAATCGGATTGCGTTATAATCCGCATTTTCTGTGCAGAAACGCAACAGATGAAGTTGTCGGGAAGGGGATTATAGCGCTTATTAAAACGTCCAAAAATAGACTTAAATGTTGCGTAATGTCTATTAAAGTAAGAGGAAAATGCGTAAAAGTTGTAGAGAGGTTCATCTCAAACAGCTGTCTGCAAGTGTGAAGAAACAGAACGTGTCAGGATTCCCTGCTTGAGTCGAGGCAGAGGGGTGAATATTTCTCCGCTTCATCCGCCTGAGAGAGCCGGAGCTGGGGGGGGAATTAAGGCCTCAGCTCGGCGGCTGCAGCAGCGCGTTTCCCCGCAGCACGAGCCTCTGCAGCCGGGGCAGAACAGCTCCGGCAGCTCCTGAGCCCCGGCCGCTCACTAAATGTAGATTGATGACAGGTGAAACCGCTACCC